ACGCCAAATGGGAGAAATAGTATATTTTATACAGAGGTAATGGAGGATAGGTTGAAGCAGGGGGAAGTTTGGCTTTACTGTAAGATTACAATTTTGTAAATAGTGTTGTACGTTAATTAACCGTTCAAGCTATTCCATTTATTCGGTATTTACCAGAATTCATGTTTTAATGTAAAAAATCATTTTCTGTGATTTTGTGGGACTAGATGTTTACACATACCTGTGTGTGTTTTATCCAAATTTTTTTTGCAATCAGTCGAGTTCCTCCTTCTTCTCTTCCTCCTCCTCCTCCTCCGCATTGGTCGTTGTTCTGGACGACTTGTGTAAATTTATCGGCGGTGTTATTTTAAAGTATTTCTAGTCCAAAGGATTGAACCGAAAAGACCAAAACTTATCGCAAAACAAGCGAGATTGCGAGTCCCACACTATAAACAAGTGCAACGACCTGCCAAAGCCATATTCGGTGCTGAGACTCAAGTTGGTCAGGGCGAGTGCCCACTTGGGGAACGCCCAGGCGATCGTGCCGTCTAACTCCAGCGCCAAAGAGCCAGATGGTCGAGCAATCATCAAGCCCAGGTACCTGGCGTTTAATGAAAGTTCAACCGATAACAACCGACATGGCGACCATCAAGCAATTAACGCACAAGCGGGCAACCATTCTGGATAGGAGAGAAGTTAATTGTCACAAGTGTGCAGTAGCATAGTGGCTGTATCCTATAAATACTGCAATTCTCTGTGAATTAATTGCTCATTCCTGCTAATGTCTCTGATGAAGAATCCGCGACGGATTTCGAAACGTCAGGTGACCAAAATATTTGTGCCATCGATCGCATCCTCCTCCTCCTCCTTTTCATCATCATCATCATCTTCTTCTTCTCAATTACTTCCTGGGACGCGCATCTCCGATTGTATTGGGAATTAATAGTGGCGTTATACTCGCGAACAAGCAGCTTGTATTTTATGAGACCTAGGTAAGAATAGCCAATAGAAAAACCACCGTGTGGATAAAGTTAATATTAAACATGAATGTCGCTGCAACAACAAGGATAATTGCTCACGCCGGGAGCAAGACCGAGCGCGAGTTCATTGAGGCCTGGGCCACTGATGACAACTCAGTGAACAGATGTATTGAGTTGGCACCCGCATA